TTCCAAGATAGGCCTTTTTGACAGGAAGAGTCAAAGGTTGTGTTGATGTATTTCGAAATGTATCACAAGTTAGGCTATCTATAAAAGATTTTGTCACAAGAACTCGTTCATTTTCAAAAAAAATGTTTAAAATGCACATACTGACTTATTTTAAGTGATATTTTTTTATCTTGTGATACTGCTTATTATATTATATTCAACATTGCGCTAAGCTTTCATTCCCAATTATTTATTATTCCTGGAGACATCTCTGCAAGCCTTTAACTCCTGGAGACGTCTCTGCGGCACTGCCTTGGCCGACAAGAACGGTCTTCCGTCTAATAGCTACCTACGTCACAGGCGTCATTCACTTCTTGTCCACTTCTCATTGGTCATCCATACTCAGCAATCGCCCTCATTGCTTGAAAACACCGGCTTAGGCACTTCCTAATTGGTCTACGTCGAGCGTCACTCTCAATCTAGCCGAACAATTTCTCTCTTGGCAGAGTTTCAGTACTTCTCAAACACAACATATCGTTGTGCGGTGTGCAAGATGGCTTAAGTGCTTAAGTAACAAATTTCCGAAGAAAAGTCTGTATATAGTGTTTCAATAGTGTTTTAAAATAAAGTATGTAATTAGAAAATGATGTTTGCACCAAAGCACTAATCCTTCCATCCCTACGGATCGCACAGGTACTTCCAACATAATTTCGGTCAATCTGCGACAGCTGATTCTATTAACTCATGTGCCGCGTTTATTAGAGAAACACCATTAGTCAGCGACTTATGGGGTTTCTCAAGTAAAGCATATTTTGACGTTTGAAAATTTAATACAAGGAGTGCTACGACTAATGGGATTTCTCGTTGGAATGTGTACCGAAGTGTTAGCATTATGAATCTGCCATTTTTGGAATATGTCAAATTTGTGACTTATGACCGATTCATTTTTGGTTAAGAGTTTAACTAAATCTTAGTTTGGTAAAAAACTTAAGGAATCGTCTGTTGGAGGCAGTGTTGAATTGGGACCCGTAGGCCCTACCTGTTCAGGAGGGAGAAGGCCACACCTATACATTTGTTTTCATGGTCAGGTTCATTGAAGAGTAAAAATGGTCTTCTTTGCTTTTTCCGTGGCTGCCACGTATTACAGGATTTTCTTTGTTCTTCTCAAGGGCCCACTGCCTTAAGGAGGGTCCACTGCTTGAACGAGGGCCTACCGATCTTATGACTGGTAGACCGACGGCTGACGACCCAATCCGACACTGGTTGGGGTAGCCTAGATAGCTCTGTTGAAGAGACCATTAAAACTCTTAATACATTAGGAGAAAAAACAACAACGACTACTATTTTAATAGAAATGTTTTTTATAATATTAAACAGATCTTCGAAATAGATCTTTTTTACCATTCCAGTAAATTGACTCGTTGTATCGCATCCTGCCTCATTCAGCCTTTTAATCTAATTTCACTATGAGGTTTTTAAAATACACCAAAATAATAGGCACATCGGTATTGCTAGAGTTAATAACGCATGTAGAAAAACCTTCCGTTTTAGCACAGAGTACATGAAGTAGAATTCTAGTGTCAGCTTCTTCATGGTTTGATTCTAATAGTTCTCGATTTTCTTCACAAATATCAATATTGGATTTAAAGTCTGTAATGTTATTAAATGCGCCACTCATTACAAATTGTATCTTATAATCATGGAATCCATAATCAGGAAGTTCGTTTGATAAATTATTGGTTAACTGTTTATTATTAAATATTCCGTGAATAAATAAATTCCATTGTTGTGGAAACGGGATCTCTCAATTAGTAATAATCCTATTAATTAATTTGGAAAATCCTCTTTCTTTGGCGAGTAACAAGATCTTTAATCGAATTTTTTGTGTAATGATCCAAAACAACGTCAATATGTTGTGCGTTATATTTGTTTTGAAATATAATTATTAAAATTGAGGGAGAGCTCTTTCAGTATTAGATATTTTTCCATTCTAATTTTACTCATGACAATAATTTTTTTCAATATTTAATAGGTATTACAGTATACAGGGTGTCCCAAATTATATAAAACTGAGATAATTTTAAGCAAAAAGGTTCATATTAACAAAATTTTAATGGATTAAAAATGGCGTATATGAAGGATATTACAGTATTCTGTTACCTTAAATAACTACAATATCTTGTAGTAATACTCTTTAATTAACTTGTTTTACGTATTTAGTTCACTGAATCATCAGATTAATCCTTGTTAATGCTATTCTTACTTTCAGGAATTGGAATCTACCTTTTTCAATATGAATGGAGTGGTCATCGTCATCAAAAATACATTTGTGTGCCCACTGCCCAGATTTCAATACACAAATTGTTCCAGTATAAATTTAAAATTAAAATTAGAAAAATAATTTTTAAACGTTCCAAAAATCACCATTCAAGAAGTAATAACCCCTTAGTTTCCTCTTAGTTACCATGATAAAAAAAACTAAAGGTAAGTTCGTATGTGTTTTTCTTTTAATGGACTTTTACAGTTTATATTTTACATTTGTTATAACATTATTCTGTATTTTTAAAATAGCATATTACACACCGAGGTGGGAAGAGTTTCATTCCTATCGTGAGATTAGTTAGATCACCGAGACGCGAAGCGTCGAGGTTAGCTATGATCTCGAGACAGGAATGAAACTTCCTACCGAGGTTTGTATACTATTTTATTTACAACCATCATATTTTGATCAAAATTAATAAATCTGTTTCGTTCTGAACATACCTAAAATATTACATTTAACGACAAATTACCAAGCGCGCGGTTTTCTCAGAATAATTAAGTAAATATATTGTTACTGTGATTACGGAGTAAACAACTGTCACCAATATAAATAAATGTCAGATAAAGCCGGATATTAAATTCGCGAATAATAAATATCAATAAGTAATTTGTTGTATTTTAGTTCATTGTTGCTTTTTATTGTTTGCGCCATTAAATAGGTATTATAAAATTTGTCAAAAAAATGTGTTATTTTTTTTAATATAAAAAATATTCATCTAGAATAGATGAAATGAAGGCGGGAAGTGAGGGCGGGAAGTGAGGGCGAGAAGTGAGGGCGGGAAGTGAGAGCGGCAAGTGAGGGCGGAAAGTGAGGGCGGGAAGTAGAGGTGTGTAATGCGACACTTTCCAACCTTCAATGACGTTAGTAATGACAACATTACATATATGGTTGTAAATAAATATAGTTCCTTTACTCTTGAATAAAATTTATATTTTTTGACAAACGGCTTGAAAATATTCATATCTGATGATTGCATTTTAAATTTTTGGTCCATGAAGAACTTTTTATCAACAATAAATTTTTTCTCAAAACCAATATTAAAAAAAGTTTTTCTTATGGTTCCAACTCTATATTGCTTCAATCTTGCATCAGTTTTGCAATTTTTTTTAGAACATTACAATAAATTTTAATTTTGTGTAATTATTAATATGTTCCGGACGTCAGAAAAAGTTGCAAAATTAAATTTATTAAAAATTCTAACAAAGTTTGAAAACTTTTGTAACTAATGTGAATTGATTATCTTTAATGACTAGCATAAAGCAACCAGTCCGAGTTCACCCTATAAAATTAGTGATATATCTTGGGTTACAGTTCTTTGTGACAGTTATATTCTCTTGGGTTAGTTTTCCTTGTAATAATTGATATATCTTGCGATCATCGATAGAAAAAATGCATCAATAGACATGGTATACATAATAGAAAACAACTGCTTACTAATTAATACAATTTCTCTATAAAAATGCAAATTTATTAACAATAATGCACTCCGGTCGAACCGGACAAAAAAAGAAACGCAGGAAATCAGAAATTAACGATCTTTTGTCGACACATATCGTTTTTATCTGATCTTTCACTTTATCGTGTGTTCCACGATGAAATTTATAATATGCCATTGTTTCAGAGAATCATTTTTTTTTTCATCCGCGATCTCTTTATATGGTAATTTTCTTATTGTTTCTCGAATTGTTTTGTTTTGTTAAGTTTTGTCTGCTCAGCGGTTTAGGATTAGCGTATTATTTGGTATTGGTGCGCTGCCCAGGCAGATTTCGTTACATAATGTCAAACATATATGCAAATTTATTCCTTTCGAGTATTTTTATTGTTGTTTCTGGAATTTATAATAGAAAAAAGTATAAAAAATACATAAATTTTGTCTAACATTTGACAATGTAGTAAACAAATAAAACGTCATGCGTTTTAAATCGATTATGTTATTATTTCTTAAGATTGTCAATTTAAATACTATTTCAAATTTATTTCTACAAAAATATCATTTAGTCCAACTGGCAAAAAATTATTTATTGGTGACTAAGGATACCTAAAACCTAAAGCAATCTATTTTTTATCGTGAAAATTTTTTTCTCGTAATATTGGTAAAATTAAAACAATTCTATATATTTATTCAATCACCTATTTTATAAATTTTCATTACGAATTATAGTAATAATAGACTTCTATGGTCTTTCCTGTGATATCTGTAGATATATTTTCTATGTCAATGTCTAATGAATCTAGGTTTATTTTTGAGTTATTTTTCCAATATTATATTTCATATAAAGATTGCACTTTTATGGAGAACTCTTGCTGATACAACTCCAATATCAAACAACCTTTATTGGTTTTTATATATTATACGATTTTTTATCAGTTCAATAATTTGTTTTAATAGTCTAGTTATTTTTTAAATAGTCCAGTCATCGAAAAGATTTTTAATTGGTCAACTAAATTATAGTTATGTTTTAATTCATCTGTTTTGCAGTGATTGTGGATTTTATTCTTCGCTTTTTACAAAAAAATTATTTGTAAATATACTACATTATGTAAGTGTGAGCAAAATACCACATAATACTTAAAAAAAAAAACGTTTATTATTGATACGCAAACGCGCGTTATGAATAGTGGTCGTAGAAAAAATACATTTCCCAAGAAGATACACGCTACATTCGCGATAAGAAAACCAAAGAGAGTATTCACTTACCTTGCCGTATTTATGTGAAGAATTGACCGTATTGGCCGACCAATGGTCCGTCTCCAATCGGGCTCGTTCGAGTGCTCCCGTGATGCTGTCGATTCTCGACCATTCGCGCACGTCGTGATCGTGAAATGGAGCGCCGCTAGATGGCGCCGCTACCACTTCCATAATTTATCGATCGTTGTAGTCGTTTTTTTTGCTTTTTAGGATCGTGTTTGGTCGTTTCGGTTCGTACTAGGCGTGCTATCAATTTTGATTGACATCAACCTGAAAATAAATAAAACATGTGTGTAATTAATATGGAATAAGTGTGTACGGTTTGTTATTTATTATTAAAAAAATCAAATCTGTTTACATAGTATTGGAAAAGTAAAATTATTAATATTATTAATATTAATAATATTAATAATATTAATAATATTAATAATATTAATAATATTAATAATATTAATAATATTAATAATATTAATAATATTAATAATATTAATAATATTAATAATATTAATAATATTAATAATATTAATAATATTAATAATATTAATAGTATTAATAATATTAATAATATTAATAATATTAATAATATTAATAATATTAATAATATTAATATTTGAGGCCACTTGACCTTAAAAAGGCAAATGTCAGTCGCTTGGATAAGCTTAGCTCTTCGATGTTTTTGAAGAAAACTCTAGGCTTAGCCATATGTTGCCGCTTTAGCATAACCTGTTCTGCAACTTTGATGTGGTGTTTCAAAGTTACAGGTGGTAACTCGGTAATGGATTCTAGATTTCTTCGCGATGTATCAAAGACGAGGTCAAGACCTTCAGCTGCTCTTCTTGCTGTCTTGAATATAAATGCTCCTTTTCCAGTACTATCGTGGTCGCGTATCATGCATAGAAGGGGGTCTGAACTGATTGTTATTTTGGACACTAGCCTTTCTATGGTGAAGATATTCTATGCTCAACAGCCCTCTGCCTCCTTGATCGCGTGGGAGGTATATGCTTTGTACGGACGAATTTGGATGCAAACTCCTGTGGAGATGCATCATATTGCGGGTTTTGATTTCGAGTTGGCGCAGCTCTTCTTGTGTCCATTTTATTACTCCAAAGAAGTAGAGGAGGATTGGAACGGTAAGCATATTTATAGCACCCACTTTGTTTTTTCCGAACAGTTCTGATGACCAGATCTGCCGGATGAGGTTCTGATACTTGTCGCGTAGAGTCTTTTTAATGAGAGCAATCTCCTGCATTTAGCGCTGTTGCACTCCCAGATATGTATAAGACTCTCCGACGTTTAAATGTCGTAGAACGTTTCCAACCAAAAGTTGCACTTCCTCTCCAAAATCCTCGCATCGGCCTCTATTGAGCTGGATCTGTGCACATTTGTTTAAACCGAACTCCATGCCGATAGCATGGTGTACTCCTGTACCAGCAGTAAGGATTGATTGAGTTCCCTCTCGTTGGATGCATAAATCTTTAAGTCGTCCATGTAAAAAAGGTTAGTAACTTTATGTCTTCGATTTTTAGGTGGGCCACATAAGTATCTTTGAGTTTCTCAGACAACATATGCAGAATAGAAAAAGACTCAGGGAGTTTCCCTGAAATATTCCTCTTCTGAATGATACCAATCCTGTTTCGACCTTCGCATTTCCAGATGTTATGGAAAAGCGGGATTTCCAGAGTGGCTTCAGTTGTTGTATGCATCTCACTACAGGGCACTACAGGGCACCGAGAGGGTTCTCAACAACTGTGCGATAAGTTCGTGCAAAGTTGTGTCGAACGCCATACGATAGTCGATCCAGGCCATGGATAAGTTTCGCTTGTACCATCTAGCATCCTGTGTTATAGGTCTATCAGTAAGTTCTCCTGGCAGCCAGCTACGCCTTTTTTGGATCCACGTTGCTCGCTCTTCTGATTGAAGACTTGGTCAACTGCTTCAAGAATTCTTGTGTACAGTATACGTGTGAACAGTTTGTAGCACGTATTAAAGCATGTTATTGGCCTATAGTTCTCTGGTTGCGAAAGATCTCAATTTTTGGGAAGTAGCACGGTACGTCCTTGAACAAACCAACCTGGAATACACTGTTGCCCATTCTGGCCAAATTTGGATGGACATTTGTTAGTTTTTCTCACCAGTAAGTCTGTATTCTGTCTGAACTTGGGGCAGCGAAGTTCTTTGCAACCTCTAGAGCGCTTCAAACGTCATTTGCAGTAATTGGTCGGTGTTGTATTTGGTTTTCTGGGAATTCTCTGCAAAATGCCTCAAACTGTCCTAGAGCTGGAGTATATTGATCAAGGGGTACCTGTTCCTCATAAAGTCTTTTCCAGAAGGTTTCCACTTGTTCCACTGTAGAAGGATTCTCGACAACAGGTGAAAGCGTTTTAAAAAGTCGTGAAGGTTTTTCGTAAAATATTCTATTCTGCTCCAAATACTTCACTCGCCTCACCAAAGTTTGTTTAGCTATAATAAGCATCCGTATTCTATCTGAGCAGTGTTGTTTGATGGTTCGAAGCACTACATAATTAAGTGTGTGATGGGTGCGTCTTAAGAAAACAGCTATGCGACGCACTTTTGGCGTAAAGCGCTTGTTGTTTTCTGTGTAGTCCAACACACACTGAATACGGGAGGCATGTTGCCTCGCTGCGTGGATCTTCGCTTCCATTTTCTGTACTCGTTATTCTGCTTTTCGATGTGATGCAGGTTTATTTGGTTTACTTTGGCAAATATTTTTGGCACATTCATATACGACACAGTTAATCAGCTAGATGTTAGCTTGATCTGTGATGGCTAAATCAATATCAGCGTTGGCTTTTCTTAAGTGTCTTGGATTAAGAGACTTTGGTAAGTATAGTACTCTTCTGTCAATCAGGTCTTCTACTGGTACTTCGACTGGAATTATAACTTGTTCTTCTTCAATCAGCCCTGCAGCTTCGGCTATGGGAGGATCTTCAAACAGTTGCGCTGCAGCTTCGGCTATAGAACGTTTTCTTACATAGTTTCTCTTGTGTAAATATGAGACATAGTCAGGCAGCTACTGAGTAGAAAATGCTCTGTGATGAGGATGCATTTCACACCACCATTCCCGCATACGAGCCATGTATCCCTTTTGATTCGGGCTACTGCGTTCGTGACAAATTAGGTCATCTCTAAGATCGTCTGTCCTCTCAAAGCATCCATTTTCATTGCGGTCATTATCAATTGGCAATCCATCCGGTTGTGGAACCTCTCCACCTTGCCCTTGACCCCTATCCGAACGGGATCGGTCGTGGAGGTCCCTTCCTCGTGTTGCTGGAAGAATCCGAGTAATCAGGTGTGAATGAAGGTTAGCCACTTCGCACCTCGGCCGACATTGAGAGGGAAAAGATATTACCCTCCGGAAGCACACCATGATTAGGTTGCCGGTCCGATTGTACCCCTAATCAATTAATATTATTAATATTAATAGTAATACTAATATTACTAGCGACAAATTACCGAAACATCGAACAAAAAAATATTCAAACTTCTTTCAGCAGAACCTCTATTCAAGAGGATGCTTTTGTCAAAGGAAATTTATAGCTTCATCAATTTTATAGCGTTTTCTGACATCTACTAAATCGCTTCTTTTAAAATTTCGACCTTATAATTAAATTTAAATTCCGGCGAGACTTTAAGTGGACCGCGCATAAACATTTCAACAGATAGCCGATCTCCGATTGTCCTTAAACATTTTTTTACGACATTTCGAAGGTAAAGTGATCGTCAGCGTTTTTTTTTTTTTTATTATTTTTACACGCGAATATGTAAAATAGGAAAACGGTTAAGAATCAGGAAGAATTGTTTAAAAAATTTGTTGACAGAAATATCAATAAGCGACTTCTATTACTCTAATAACTTCTGTTTGTTCTCTTTTTAATTCTACTTGTCCATTTTGTCATCCTGGTGCATTTTTTTTAATTTTTCTAAAAAATAATTGGTAAATATGATGTTTAATTGTAAATTACAGTAACATAAGCGATATAAACAATTATCAAAGTTCAATATACTCAATCTTGCACAACACGTACAACATTTTTTCTTTCAAAACGAAACCCAACCAACATAAGGCACCGAAAACCTACACTCCGAAACTTTTACTTTTCCTGGTACCAATAAAGGCTAAATGCCTCTTTATAAAGCCTACAAAGTGATCTTTCGACCTTGAGATTGTATTATGAACGCTCGTTTAAATCGTACCACTTTCCACCCGCCCACACTCCGGCCTGTACGCTAAGCTTCCCGTCTCATCCTTTTTCGCGTCTGATCAAGCTTGGCTTCGATTAAGAAAAGAAGGTGTTTATTATCTTCGTAGTTTTTTTATTTAAAGGTTGCTTTCATATTTGTAAATAGTGTGCCCTGTATATTTATTTTCGGTGTCTTTTATTAGTTTTACGAAAAAAAAGTTATTCGCTATAAAAAATTCCGCGTCGTCTGAAACCTGCGACTACTATAAAAATGGCGGCAAAATAACATGTAAAAATATCAGTCGTTTGGGACTTTATTAGTAAAATAAAATTTGAGCTTTACTATGAGTATTTTCATCATAATATAATGAATAGAAATTTAATTTCTTTCCTTTTGATATAATTAAATACATGTTGCTGTATTAGCCAGTGGAGTAGTTGTTCTCTGAAGGGAAACTTTTACTTTTATTTTGTATAACAAATAAATGGCTTTGTGATATTTATTTTATTTTAATATTTATATAATTACCATTAAATTTAGTATTTTGACAGTTCAAAATCGTTTTTCCTATTTTATTTTCATTTCAACCATTAACTTTTCACAATTCGTAATGAAAAAAAAAAATATCGATGATGTTATTCCTCCTACACGAATCATCCTGTAAGTATTCATTTCATTTGAAAGAATGCCTAAATTTAAATAAAATTCGACAGCTTCGAACATTTTTTTTAAGAAAACTTATTCCTTGAATTTTTAACGAATTTATTATTTAAAATAAATAACCGTCGACGTTATTACTTACATGTTCATCACCCTGTGTAATATATAACTTTTTGATCAAAGTATGGAAAATTTAAATTAAAAATTATCTTTTTCAGGAATTCCCTTAAAAATAGATGTTTTGAAAAAATATTAAATTATTCACTACTTTACAGGTTGTTCCTAAATATCTTGTACATAAGGAAGGAGTTAATTTCTTTTCTTATGGCTTATTTCATAACTGAAAAGTCATATAAACATAGTTCCGCAAACGCTGTGTTACCGATCTACAGGGTGTTAAAATTTCA